CCCTGCAGATCCCTCTGCTGATTGCAGAGCTGAGCTCAGAGCGGTGGTGGGGGGCCCAGAGGAAGCTGCAGTCACTCCTCAGCAGGAAGGAAAATCACCACATGGAAGGGTGGTTAGAGCAGGGGGCAGGGGACAAAGGGAAAATGTTCTCTGGCACTCAGGGATTTGCCATGGGGTTGGTCACGGGGCAGGGGGTCTTACAAGTGACATTTGAACCACGCAGTTTTTCCTAGGATCCCTCTTTGAATTTATGTTTTTAACCCAGCACAATGGTGTGGTTTATTGCAGCCCTGTAAATACTCAGATCGCTTGAACATCGTGCCTGGCTTTGCACTACAGAGATGATCCCGTGGAGTGGGAGTTCAGATATTCTGGAGCTGATATCCTTGCACTTGCATTTTTAAATGTTGGTACTGCAGGACTGCCTTGTTGTATGTAAACATGTTAATCCAAAATCCTCTTTGGGATTTTGGGAAGTGAGAGGGTCTTTATGGAGCAGGAAATAGGGGGGAATTAAGAGATTATTGTGTTTTTTTCATCATCAGTCTCTGGTCTGGCCAGCCTTGTGGTATCAGTATTTTCTTCAGCCTAATTCTGACTATAAATGAATTCCCTCCCAGCCCATAACTGGAACAAAGCTGACATGTGAGGCACATCCCCAGTGGCTCCATGTCAGGTGTCCCTGTCCCTGCTGCCCCACCGGATCCGCTGACCTTGTGGAGCACAGGAAAGCCAGGCCCAGGTGCTCTCACGTGGCCACCAGCCCCAGGGAGGGACCTGCCAGGGGCTGCCCTGTGTTTGTCACAGCACGTGGGGACACAGGAACACAGCTGGGACCTTGGAAAAAAGGATGGAGATGGGTTTGTTTGCTTCCAGGCTGGCAAAACAGAACTTCCTGGATCTGCATTTCTCCCCCAGCTCAGGGCCAGCTGCTGACGTTTTGCCTGCCCTCGTGAGCTGCTGGTGCCCTGCAGTGACATCTGAAAGGGCAAATCCTGTTCTGTAACCTGCTCAGGTTTGTTTTCCTGCTGAGATTCCTGCTTGCAAGGAATTAAGAGCCCCGTTCCCTCCGGATCCTCACTGAGGAGCAGCTGGAGCTCCATTGAGGTTGTGACAGGCAGTGGTGGAGCCAGGACAGGGAGCAAAGGCACTTCTCAGGGCACTGACATTTCTACATCAGGATTTTTTGAGTGACTTTGGCCAAACCCTTTTACCCTGCTGGATTCTCCTGCGAATCCCTGAGGCCATTCCTGAGTGCTGGCCCAGAGCTGGGCAGTTCAGCAGTGCCAGAATCACATGGGCACCACATTCCACGAGACATTCCATGATCCAGCACAGCTCAGTGGTCAACTCCTTCCTTTCCAAACATTTTTTGTTGCCTTTGCTACCTGCTCCCTGCAATTGGAAACCAAATTTCCTGCCCTTTCATCCTCTGCTTTTTTGATGTCAGCCTCGCTGGGGGGAGTTTTATCTATTTCTGTTTTCTTGTCTCAGGCAGCTTTTGTCCCCACACTTCCACTTCCTGAGCCTGCAGCTGGGGAGCAGCGAGGTCACATTTGGGTGCACGTGGATTTTGGGGAGGTGAGGGAAGAATGGAAGCTCCATCCCGGGGGAGGGATGGATTTTCCGAGTCAGGAAGGAAAGATGAAGGTGGAAGCAGAGCCTTGCAGCCAGGTTTGTTTGGACAAAGGAGAATGGAGGCTGGGCTGGAGGCAGGGTTTGGAACTCCAGCCCCAGCTGGAGCGTGGAAGTGGCTGTGGCTGGAGTTGTGTCTCTGGATGTCTCAAGTTTTCCATGAGGTTTCTTTGCTGGTGGAGGTCCTGAGGATGAGTGAAATGACCTCGAAGGCTCCTCATGCCTTGAAATCCCAGAATCCCAGGATGGTTTGGGTTGGAAGGGACTTTACACTCATCTGTCCTACCCCTGCCATGGCAAGGACACCTTCCACTGTCCCAGGCTGCTCCCAGCCCCATCCAGCCTGGCCTTGGGCACTGCCAGGGACCCAGGGCAGCCCCAGCTGCTCTGGGCACCTGTGCCAGGGCGTGCCCACCCTCTCAGGGAAGAATTCCTTCCCAATATCCCATCTATCCCTGTCCTCTGGCAGTGGGAGGCCATTCCCTATGTCCTGTCACTCTCTGCCCTATAAAAATTCCCTTTCTCAGGGCTGCTCTCTCTAATCATCTGTCCTGTTCTGCTCCACAGGTTCCTGTCATCTTCTTCTCCAAAAGCACCAAATACTCCAGAAGAACATTTCTCCTCCAGGAGAACACCTGGCTGTGCCCGGCTTTGACAGGAGCAGACAGAACTGAAGCAGCAGAGCCCAGAGCTGTGGGGCACAATGGATCCACAATGGATCCCTGCCCAGGACTCCTTCAACTTCCTTAAGGAATGAAGTCAGCAGCTCCAGCCATGTCTGGATCCCTGGATCCATGTGGGAATGTGGCTCCCTGTGGCAATCCAGGGCATCCCTCTGGCTGCCCTGGGACCCTGGCAGTGGTCAGGAACCCCCCTGGACAGAGCCCCCAGAGACACTGGCTGTGATCTCTGGCCATGGAAAAGAGTTTGCAATCTTACAGGATCAATTACCTGCTCTGAGCATTTGATATAAGTAATAATTAAGTGTGGCATGGGTGCAAAAGTAAAATTTTAGGATTCTAGATGAGGGGTCCAAAGGGGACAAGACGGAGGAAATTGGGTGTGCCTTGTCCTTTTTCTCCTTCTTCATGCCCTCCATGTCTCACTGTGGTGTTGGCATTTTTCTGTTGGTTCAGGCTGGGGACACACTGTCCAACGTAGGTGA